CTGAATGGGTCAGGCTTGGGAGCCTGGTGAGCACATAGGGTTTTCAACCCACAATAAATAAGTTTATTAACTTTATCCAACCAAACAAACCCGATTACCCCGTTCCCGTTATCCTCACTTTACGTCCCTAAAACATCTAACACAAGGGACCTAGTTTAAGGACTTTCATCGGGGTGACAACACTGCTTCGGGGATTCCTCGGCAATTTATGTCAAATAAGGCAACCATGTGGGGGATGGAGTAATGCTGGTGAACACTAAGTTCAAATAAACACCTACAGGTTGCGAGCCTGCTAGCGTTCCACTGGACTGTCTAGAATAGTCTGTGGTTGTCATCTATACTCCGCTAGATGACTGGATCATCTTAAAACATCGAGACCTCTCATCATTTTATTTCATCACACCCAACTATTATATATACCCATGTTTTACCCAACACATTTTTGTAGATATAAAATACATATACAGTTTAAATCATTTAAAACATGTATAAAATCTTTCATCCAGCGTAGACAGCAAGTATTCAGACAATATGCATACATAGCACGTAATTTATATAAAATACTTCATATCTATGTGTAAGATGAAAGTAACTATGCACTCACTTGTTAAGGTGGTGATTCCGAACTCAGACAGCGCTTCGCTTCTATTAATTTATTTTCTTTCGACGAAACCTAGTATCATTATCACTAGATTTTAGTCTAATATTCAGTGCGACTAATTATTAGTCTAGATTCATCATTAACTCAGAGTCTACTTCATGATCTATCAAGTAAGGAATGACCAGGTAGGATCATATCGGAGGTAGGGTCCGTTTGGTATACGAAGTATACTATTTGGAAATCCCATTTTAAACACCTCACTAAATCACAGCCTAGACATCATTCCCGTAAGTAGATCAATCAGTATAACGACTTTGAATCACTGATAAATCTTATTTATAGGTTCATAATAACGATATTATATTTAAATAAAAGCTATATTTAAAATGGTGTAGGCGTAGCTCACTTACAGCGGGTTTTTATCAAACACCGGGCTTCACTGGAGCAGCGTTTCCGAACTGAAAGGCTCTTTTTCTCGAGGCTTCGGGAGCCTCGGGGCTTCCTTCGGGTGCTACGGGGGTTCCCTAGGGTTTAGGGGGGGGGGGGGTTAGGGGTGTAGAGAGAGAAAGTAGTGAGAGAAAGATGGGAGAAATGTGTGAAGAAAATGAGCTGCCCTCGCCCTCTATTTATACCGTGAGACCTCGGACCACGCTGGGCGTAGTCCTCGGCTACGCTGGGCGTAGTTTCGGATAAGGACAACAGGTGGCGCTCTTCGGATGGGGCGACGTGGCATCTTTCGGTCCGCAGAAGACAGGCGTACGCGAGGCGTAGGGAGAACATTGGGCGTCCGAAGACCTATGCTGGGCGTACCCCTCGCACAGCCTTCGTGATTTGCACTTCCGACTTCAAAAATTCGTATCTTTCGCATACGAGTTCCGTTTTCGATGTTCTTTATATCCACGCGTAGGCGGGAACGTACTCTACAACTTTCGTTTAGACTTCGTCGGCTAATTTTGACTTTATTTTTAAAGTTATATTTTTAACAGGGCGGGACATGATTGGTCCGTTAAAAATTTATAACTTCTTCATCCGACGTCCGTTTTCGTCTGTCTTTTTATCGTTACGCTACTATTAACGAGATCTTCGATTCTCGTTTAGGTTGTGTCGGCTAAAAACCGTTCGATCTAATATTCGAACTTCGGGCTGTACACTGCTAAGCCGAAACTTCGAAAAATCATAACTTCATCATACGAAGTCAGATTCGGGCGTTCTTTTTATGGACGCTCTCGGTTTAACGTATTCTACGACTTTCGTTTAGACCGCTAAAGCTAAAAATCACTCTATCGTAAATTCACTATTTACGTCTCCCGGTATCGTGCCGGTTCTATCGTGAAACTTCGACAGGTCATAACTCCTTCGTTATAACTCGGATTTCGGCGTTCTTTATATGTCCGGAATCCTTGTCACGACCACTATCACTTCATGTATCGATATCGGGTTTATTCAAAACTTAAATTTTGACGCTTATTTTTATTATTTCTTTATAAACAAATATATAAGCACATAATTCACATAATACTCAAATATTTCATCTTTATTACTTCCAAAAAGAGTTACAATAGTTGACCTAGACTATTACATCATCTACTAATGCTTAGCCCATAAACACAGGCGTTACACAAGATATGGAATAACTCTCCAATATTATTGAGAAAATTGCTCAAAACTCAATTTTGATTGTGTTACAGCATTACCGTAACTTAGTTTCTATGCATATATATATATATATATATATATATATATATATATATATATAATCTACCGACTTATAGAATTAGACTAGAAGTCTTAAAGCCTTCTTGCTTAACCTCCAAGTAATTGGATCCTAAAGTCCTACTCGACTTAGGAATTCTAACAGTTTCCTTCACATCATCTTCCCAACAAGATTAATAAAATTGATAAAAACATATACATTAATCTTTTTATGATTATTTTTTTCAATGTTAGAACATCCACAATCATCAGCCTCATGCATGAGAGTGAAAAAGTTGTGCACGAACAATGTTTGAAAACTCAAACCTTGAATTAACTTAAGATCAATGTCTGCTGCTAACACTAAAGGTCCAGTTAGGTCTGGTAAACCAGTCTTGTCTTGAAATAAGAAGTTCAACAAAGTATTCACGTATTTAAGAGTGAGTATGAACAAAGTAAAGAAAACTTAAGAACAATGAGAATGATAAAGAGAATGATTTGACTTGCAAGATACTTTGTATTAATGTGAAAGAGAATGTTCCTCAAGTGCTACATGCATGGAAATTACTTCTCCTTAAATAGCCAAGGAGTAAGAAAAAGACAATCTGATAAGACTGCATGAACTATGTAAAACTGAAAAGTCAAAAATCCGACACTGAGGATTTTCTCGATCTTGTCCCATGAATTTTACAATAATATAAAGACTACAAGACAAGAAACATTAAATGCTGATTACAGACTCATAATAGCATCGACTACAAAGTGCTTCTCGGACAAGTCTTTATATCGGAAGTAACTTCAATTCGGAACACATCACATCTCGTAATGCACTTGACTTTGGTTTGGCTTGGCTTCAGATTGCTAGAGGTTCACTTTCATGTATCAACAATGCATAACTTTTTTTTTGTCACATCATCTTTCCACCAACTTTATCAAACAAAAACTCATCAACTTAAAACCTATCCAATTATTGTTCATTTTGAAAAGCTTATTTCTATAATTAACCAATATATACTCATCTATATTGAATATCTTATAAAACTCCATCGTCTAAAACTTTTATTTTTTAAACATATGTATTTATAAAAACATGGTTTAGAAAAATACAAAACTAAAAATATAACTTTTTTAATGTTTTTTTCCCAAATATGAAGGATGATAAATTCTTAGTATATAGTTATAAAAAATACCAAAAATATTATATTATAATTATGAATTTAATATTCAATATCAAACATTAAAAAATGAAAATTATTTAATATTTATTAATATAAGCTATTGTAATAAATATATTAAAGTTTATGTATAATTAAGGAGTAAATATCATTGATTAAAAAGGGGATTATGTGAATTAAAGACAAATTTAGAAAACATTTAGTTAATATAGAGTTGTGAATCATTCAACCAAACAATCTACTCTAACCAAAGAGCATTTGGCCTATCGGTAAGATGTGATTCTCTCAAATCAGAGGTCATGGGTTCAAGTCTCACTAGGAGAGATAGGTGGTGTTTAGGATTAGATTAGGAGTAGGATAGTTTGTCGTTTTAAAAAAAAAAAAAAAAAACGATCTACTTTAATAAATGAAGATTTTTTTGTCACATGTCACACCTCATTCAATTTGTCAAATGTCATTTTGTGGTTATTTTGAATTAATTTTTTTTTCACATGTCATTTTATGAGTTTTTTTATTTTAATAAATTCCACAAAATACTTTAATGTAATAATTACAATAAATGTATTAATAAATGAATATCAATTTCATTAATGGACTTACCTTCTTATTTCAAAAATTATCAAATTAAAGCTCATTAGTTTATTTTGTTTATTTATTTAAATTTAAAAGATAAAAAAATCAATTTTAATAATTCATTATTTTTCTTATTTTTTCTTATAAATCCAAAGTTCTTAAATATTTAGACCTTTATATTTAATTTTTTAAGACTAAACTGCGTAAATGGTCCTTGTGGTTTGCTTAAAATTGTCACTTTGGTCCAAAAATGTTTGTACTAGCACCACAGGTCCAAAGTTTTCATTTTGTTGCTAGTTTGGTCCAATTTACTTTGAACTTTTTCATAATGACGATTTTGCCCTTACTTGTTTCTTTTTTAATTTTTTATTTATTTAAATATTTTTTGTTTAAAATAAAAAAATTGAATTTTCTATTTTGTTTATATAATTTTTTATAAAGGAATAAAAATAAATAAATAAAATATGCAATCAATCTCTCTCTCTCTCTCTCTCTCTCTCTCTCTCTCTTTTTCTCTCTCTCTAGCATAAGAGAACAATTCCTTTTTCGTTCAACGTAACAAAAAAATCATTCATTTGAAGGAAATAATTAATCACCATAGCATGTTCTGCATCCCACCCTTCTATGCATCGATTCACCGTTCATCATCTACATGTATGCTTTGCTTTTTTGCAACCCCTATGTGTAGTTTCTGTTGGTTTAGACTAAAAGACTTCAAAATCACCCTCTTTCCCTTTCGATTTTAGGTTTCAGGTCCAAATGAGAAGAGTACAGGGAATCGGAGATGGAGAGATGGAGTTTTTGTGCGTCGATCGAACAAACCCAGAATCGATAGAGAAGAACGAAGATATGAAAGATCTAGGGTTTTCTGAGGAAGATAGAGAAGGAGAGAGAAACGAATTTACCTTTGAGGGTTTTCACATTTGCGTTAGGGTTTCATGACAGTGGTTGCAACACTTATGGTCGAAGGTTTCTTAGTGGGGAAGATGAAGATGATGCTAGGAACCATTCGATCTACACAGATACGTCAGCAATATCGGTTGCCATACGCCGGAGTCGCCGAAGACATTCTCGTGTCAGACGTCAGAGTCGCCGGAGACATGGCGTATGAGCGGTCGGAGACGGAGACATGGCGTATGAGCGGTCGGAGACGGAGACATGGCGTATCAGCGGGGTTTTTTTCTCATCTCACCAAAAACTCTCCCTAATATGATGTATCTCACAAAAAACTCTCCCTAATCTGATGTATGTTGCAGGTGTGTGATGGTGAATAACAATCGAAGCTCTAATTTTGGTGATGAGAGTGTGAGTTGAAGAATATGGGAATGAGAAGTTGAACTGTTTCTTGAGGTTTTTAAGATCGGCGATGAAGGTGCAGTTTTTCTGGTCGGCGGTGAAGGTGAGGTTTTTCAGATCGACAACAAAAGTTTTGGGTTTTCCGATCGACGTCTGTGAAGGTTCTTTGGGTAGGTGACGAGACTGGTGAAGGAGAGATGCTTTAGATCTGGCGATGGAGAGGGATGTTCTTGAGTGGTAGAAAAATCTACTTGGAGATGGAGGTGGAGGATGGTGGTGGTGACTAATGGTTGTCAAAATCAATGGTTATGGGGTATGTGTTTTGAAGATCGAACCCAGAAGATGTTTTTCAGTTTAAGTGTTTATCAAACACAACCTGTGAAAGAGAGAGAGAGAGAGAGAGAGAGAGCGAGAGAGATTATTGTAAGAATTTTGTTCTCTGGTGGTTATTTCAAAAAATAATTGTTTTTGTTTTTTTTTAATTATTGTAATATAAAAGTAATAAAAAAAATAAATATCAGGAGCAAATTCGTCATTATAAAAAAGTTAAAACCAAAATGGACCAAAGTGGCAACAAAATGAAAAGTTTGGACCTATGGTGCTAGTCCAAACATTTTTGGACCAAAGTGGCGATTTTCAGCGAACCACAGGGACCATTTGTGCAGTTTTGTCTTTTTTTAATTAACCCATGTAATACATGGGTCTTACACCTAATACATTATCTAAAAATAATAATTTTGAGATTGATTTTAAATATTCGTCATTTTCATCGACCTTCTATTGAAGTTGCTGCTCTTATAGGCTTGTATGATGTCGGATTATTTAGAAGGCTATGAATAAACATAACTTGAGTATCTAATGTACCTACGTAAATTGAATTTTGAACCACTTATCATTTGCTAGATCAACTTTGATGCAATGCACCCACATGCATCTGTGATCTGTTTGAACATATATGGATTTTAAAACAAGAAGGCATCTATAAAATATAAACTAATTTGCTATAAATAAATTAACAACCTTTAAAAATAATACTAGGTCTAAGATATTATTTTGTTTAGGTTTTGCTATTGTTATATTGGGAGCATAGTATAAAACCTGAAATTGAAGTTTAGAACTTACGTATAAAATATAAATAAACGGTCGGGTCGGTTACCCACGAATGTCTTTTAAACCTTTTTTTTTTGGAACAAAAGTATATATCGAGTGTTTTACTATTTTTGATGAAAAGCTTTATAAAGTTGTTTTCAGTTGATCGTGGTTTAACCATCTAATCCGTTTAATATGTTTAACTTAATTAGGGGCTATTTGTTTACCTCTTAATTGAGAAATTAAGAGGCAGTCTCTTAAAAATTCAGATATAGGGTGTTTGGCAGCATCTTATTTTTTACCTCTTAATCTCAAAAAAAATCTCTTAAGTTTTCAGACTTGGCGTTGTATCTGAAAAAATAAAAGGGCACGCTCTTTCCCGTTTTGCCCAAAAGCGTATTCCCTCTTCTCTATTCTATTTCGCGAGACAACATCTTCTTCCCTCCTAACCATCTCCGACGACCTGCAACCCTCCGCCTCTACTCTCGCCACCGGCCAGTCACCGCCTCCGCCAGAGCCGTTTCCTGCGCCGCCGCTGCTCCGCCCTCCAACCCCGTTAATCTCGTCGATAACAACACCAGGTACGCCGCCGCCTGCTCCGCCCTCCATCCCCGTTAATCTCGTCGACAACAACATCAGGTAATGGTTCTCTAAAATCGACTTTCTTCTAGTTCTAGGGTTAATTTATGAACCTATTTCTAAAATCGGTATTGGATTGAAGTCTACACTTGAAATCGTGATGCTCTTTTGGGTCTGCTGGATTGAAGTCTACACATGAAATCGTATCCCTTAATTTGCTGTTACCTTTGACACATGATTTTGAAGATTGATTCTTTTCCATCGGTTGTTAGGATTGTTATTTTTATGAAACTTGTTATGGTTTTTTCTAGTATCAGCAAGTGTATTTTTGGAATCAATGGTCTTGATTTTTGCTGATGGAAAGTTGTTTTGATAGTGAATCATTCGAATCAAATCACAGGTTTTAAATCTTTATTGACTCAGGTTGATGATTTCATCAGCAGTGGGTTTGCTTAACAGGTTGATGTGTTGTGATGAATGCATAACAGGTCGATTTGAAGATACTTCATGAAGCTGAAGATCTTGTTGGCAATTAATTATTTTTTATAGGTTACAAAATGGTTGGTTTTCACATGGTGACATTAGACGGGGATGAAATTTGGTTGATCGGATTATTGTAACAAGAAGTAGCATTATATTTCTAGTTATTAGATTATTATTGCATTCTATTTTTCTATTAAAAGATTGAAAATAGAATGATAGAACTTGTTATAGTTTTCAAAGTATGATTCCTTAATAAGAAAAATGTTGAAATTATGTTGTAATTGAAAGAAATCATAAAGAAGGGTAAAATGGTCATTTTTATAATTCAGCACAACAAATTCAGAGGTTCCAACCAAACAGCATTTGAAAATTTAGATCTTTAAAATTCAGACCCTCTTACAAATTCATACCTCTTAAAAATTCAGCTATTAAAAATTCAGATCCTGCCAAACAGCCCCTAATTTGTTTTTTTTAGTTGAAATTTTCTAGACTCCCGTTTGATCCATTGTAACTAGAAATATAATCTAACATATATCGATTTAATTATAAATAAATAAATAAAATTGTTGTCTTTGTGATTTATTATATTATATGATTTGCAAACATTTTCCTTTGAATATATACAAGAGTATGGTAGCTGTTTATGTTTCTCAGAGAAAATCTCATAAAAACTTAACACATATTATCTATGATGTTTAAAAAATTATTATGTTATTTTTTCATTAAATTTTATATATATATATATATATATATATATATATATATATATATATATATATATATTATAATGCTTTGTACCCAAAAATCTACTAAAAATAGTTACACAGTCTACATGAAACTAAAAAATTACATACATAAACATTAACTGTTATTCCAGAAAATTAATATCATTTTGTCGAAAAGTATAGTATCATTAGTATATAGAAATTATAATTATATTTTGTCTTAAGTCTCATTTTGTCGAAAAGTATAGTATCATTTGATAAATATAAACTGGTTTGTCAAACATTACATTAAACTTTACGCTTCAAATCAGTATTCTATACAACTTATTTTTGTTTATCAATTTAATCAAAATCAAAATTAATAATAATAATAATATACATAAAATTAACAGAATAGTTTTTTTTAAACAAAATACTAACTTGGACTATTTATTTATTTTAAAGATTTTCCATTTATATTTTATAGGGAATATGGTATAACTAAAATTGAAGTTTAGGACAAAAGTATAAAAGAGTGGCAAAATTGACGAAAAGGAATAAATTTTGACGAGTGAGAGTAAAAGCTTATTTCTTTCTCGTTTCCTTTACGTCCGTTGACGAAGGTTCCTTGAGTCACAAGTCAGCCCTTTTTTTCTCAAATTCCAAAATTGCCCTTTCCTTTTCTGGCTATACAATTAGCTCAAACCGGCTACTCCCCCTACCGCGTCAAAACACTTCCCCTGTTTTTTAATACTACTTTAAGTTATCATTCTCACATCCTTATCTATACAGTAATTACACACCAACCCCTCTTACATTTTACCACATTTGGTTTTTAACTAAACACCTACTTTTGTTATTCTTTGAGAAGATTTTTCACATAATGGGTTTACATGTTGTAGTTTAAAAGAATTTTCAACACATTCTGTCAATTTGATCGAATGAAACTAGTTCAAGCATTATTTTACACTTCCAATCTCAATAAAATCATAATATCAGAAAAAAGGTATTAATTTCTATAACCATTAATCTTATTATGACTCTTTTAGGGTTTTTATTCAATGTGTATGTGTGAGATTCCAAAATGATAAAGATGATTATGAATACTTAAAAAAAATTCAATTACGTGTATAAGCAAAATAAATTAGGAACACATGAATATAAATTTGTTATGTATCTAAACTTAAATATAAAATCTTTTTAAACGATGTAGCTTTAAACCAAAAATAAAATACAAATGAAATAAGTCAAACTATGGAATGAAAAAATAAATTGTACAATTTTTTAGTGCGAAAATCGAATGAATTTACAAGGAAAGAAAAAAAAACATTTTAAATGAATATAAGTCAAGATGTTTTGCCTTTGATGGAAGAATAAAAACTTTATCCAAATCATTTATTGAATTCATAATTGAATAAATAGTATGTTTTTTTTTTACTTCTACTCTATTACTTTAGGTTTTAGAACATTCACAATATAAGTTTTTTTATATTAATATTGAATTCATAATTGAATAAATAGTATGTTTTTTTTTTACTTCTACTCTATTACTTTAGGTTTTAGAACATTCACACTATAAGTTTTTTATATTAAAACAGCCTTTGAAAAATGAAAAAACATATCCGGTGAGCTTTTTCAATTCAAAACCTTTAACTAACAAGTTTAAGCAAATAGCTTTTTCATTTATTGTATGGGATCATAGATTTTTAACTAATTATAACCAGACAACATCTACATACAACTCATAAAAAATAAAATAAAAAAACTGTTATATTATGATAAATACAATGAGCGTTTTTATTTTGAGTTTTTTTATGAAAAAATTCAACTAAAAAAATATTTCAATGCTATTAGTAATTCATCATTGCTTTTATGCTTAGATTTATAGGCACAATGTAGAAAAAAAAACATATATTTGATCGATTTAAGAAGGTACGAGGGCTTATAAAGAATATTAAGCGAAAGATTAATGAACAGTTTGGAAATATTTGAATCAAAATGCATAATTAAATGTTTTTATATATAAACTTAATTACATAATAACCATAAATTTTCTAACCCTATTAAATTATTAGTGTGTGTATATATATATATATATTAATATATATATATATATATATATATATATATATATATATATATATATATATATATCAACGGAAA